CTGAAACATCATAGAAACTCTAATCCTTAATTTTTGCTTCATACAAACACCTCAGTCATAGAATAAGTCAGGGACACGGGGTAACGTTTTTATAGAACACAAGCTGAAGGCTTTATGGTTCATCCCTGCCCCAAATTACCCGAGGGGAAAATTAGGAGGATTTAAGCTTTCAATTTGCTTCAGTTTTACAACTCTCTCATCTTGAGTGCTTAACAGATGGAAAACGAATAGGGGAAAGAAATGTTTTTGCTGGAGGCAAAACCATTTTGAGACACACTGAGTCTTGTAGGAATTTTGGGTAAACTGCAGAATCACACATTGCTTGACGTGTTTTTAAGAATTGCACATACTCGGTATCCATGTACACATCGACCTATTTTCACTTTAAAAAAAAAAATGGCACTGAGCACACCCTTGACTTTATCTATGTACACATCGACCTATTTTAACTTAAAAAGTAAAAGAAAAATTGACAAAAATCCAATTGTTTTTACCCTTGTAAAAAGTGGCAAACAAATAAGTGGGCGATTCTGCATTTTTTCAAAGAAAAAGCATCATTCATTATAGAAAATTATGTTTGAACAAATAACGAGATGAAATTATGCTTTAGCAATAACTCGGTAGTGAAATAGCGATGTGGGCATCCATTCAGTTATGTTTAACAATTTTTATATAAATTATAATAATGATCTGAAATAGTTATTTACTCTTATGCTTCCATTCAGTCTTGTTTAGCCTTTTTATCTAAATTATAATAATAAAAAAGTATTATATGAAATTAACCTTTCATCTAAATTAAAACAATAATCTTAGATAGTTACTTACTATTATACTTCCTTTCTTGCGTTAGGGTTGCCGCAATTATTTTTAGCAGCACTGGCATTAACAATAGTTTGGCGACTTTTGACGGCCCTCAAAACCGAATAGTACCCTTATTTTTATTTCCTACTAAATACAGCATCCATTTCTATCACTCCTTTTAAAAACATCATTTATGGCAAATTTTGTTGTCTGAATGGAGCCACGAACACGGAAGAACCACGAAACTGCCATCCAGAGAGATTGTTCGCCTCTTGCAAAAATCTATAAGCGGCTATTGACCTTGAACAAAACTTAAATCACATAAATTAACGAGTGTTAGAGAAAAAATTCAATCAGGATGTTGGGGTTTTAATTTCTAAATTTAATAATTAAAAATACTTTGCTTCTTTGCATACCACCAGTGGTATGCGTACCACCGGTTGAGAACCCCTGGTTGATTTCATATTTACGGCCACCTAAAAAACAAATTACAATTTTTTTTAATTAAAAACGGCTATTGACTAAAAAACGATTTTTTTTTTTTTTTTTTTTTTTTTATTTTCTATTACAATACATTAAAGCATCTCTTATTTTGTTTTCATTTTGCATGGCACCTGAACTTGATACCTATGGAAATACATAGAACTAATTACACAAACTAAATCAGCTTTTGTGCATGACTAATTTTCATTACTTAATCTGATCAGGTTCAATAAACTGTACTAGATTGTATTGATTCATATTTCACAAATTTTAGTTCTGAAGCGCATATTCCCTGCTGCATACTGGTCACAAAAAAATGGGATATTTTCATGCCAGTTTCCTTATACAGGAATGCCAACCAAATGTCTTTTTCCCCCCCTGCAAATTCACATACAGACATTCTGTACTTCCTTTATATTTTCTTTCGTAGATATTTACAGGGTTCGTAGCCACATTTTAGTTAAAAAAATAAGCACCTATAAGCACTTTTCAAACACATTTTAAGGAAAAAAATAAGTACCTAATTACATTATAGACAACTGCATAACCTTAAAAGAAATATTAGACTTGTAATTTAAAATATGAGAAATCCAAAATACGAGAGAGAATGAGCATTACTCAACCATAGAAAACAATTACATTCTTTTTTTTTTTTAATTTTAAATAACAATTCAATTTACAGAACTAGTTTACAACGAGAGAAAAAAAACTATGCAGAACTAAATTATACTACAAGAGTTAATAATGATTTCCCTCATATTTTAAAATGAATTTGTCCACATAGTGATAGTTTTACATCTTACTAACAACAAATCATTGTAAACTATTTGCAAAATTTACATCTAACCTTTTCTTTCTAATTGCTGAATTTTATGCCAGCCTGATACAAAAACCAACAATTCACAGTGAAGGAAATACAAACTGACATCCAGTCTATGAATTTGCTAAGTCAGCTGCACATTTAGCTTTTCCAATTATTTATGGATGATTTGAGGCCTAAAAAGTAGCAGAAACAATAATAAGAAAGTATAGGGAAGCAATAATGAAAGTATCTTGTTAGATATTGCAATGTTAACACTATTTGTGCTATATTGTAATGTTAATACAATCAAAAGTCGTTAATTCGGACACCCATAATCCGGAATGATCTATAATCCGGACCTCAAAGCTACAAACTTTCTGCACATGCGTCGCGTTGATGCATGCGCGTAAGGCCTTTATGGCTGCGAATATGCGTGTGTGCGCAAAATACGTTTACGAATGCGCGTTTAATGTATAACGGACGGTATAAGCTAAGCTAAAATTATCTAATTCAGTTAATGTTGCAGATTGCATTGTTCCTTAATCTTCGAATTGGATTCGGCTTATTATTTTTTGCAGACTGTTACAGCAATTTTATAAAAGTAAGCTTGAACTTTCGATTATGTCAAATAGAATTTCTGATATACATTTACTAATATGTAAAGGATCTACAAAGTGAAAGTATGTTTCGAAGTGCACTACACAAAAAGTGAAATTGCTGCAAAAAATGGATAAAGGCATATCCTTTGTTTATCTAAACTTTAATGTTGTTTTATCTAAACTTTTTTAATCTTTATGCTGGCGGTGTGCAATGAAATGGAAGTTGATCTCTGTCAGCACTATCTTTATTCTCAGGGCAGATGTTTTTATATTATTTGGCTTATAATTCCTTACTAAATGTAGTATTTTATCTCGATGTATTCCATCTTTGATATGATTTAAATCAATTTCCTCGTCATTATAATTCGCTTCCGATAGCGAAGAAAGTGACAGAGGTTATTGAAAACGAAAAAATTTCGATTGACAAATTAGTCGGTATTCTCGACACAGCAATTATAGGACTTGAACAGCAGAACTTTGTAACTGAACAAGAAATTATGTCTGTTTATAGAATTAAAGAGAATGAATTGTCACATAAAAAACGAAGCAACTTAAACAACTTACATTGAAAGAAATGTTTAATAAAGTGAATAAATAAATATTAAGCTTTTTTTTTTTTTTTTTTTTGTAAATTTTGATACCCTTTAGATCATAATTGTTCTTTATTTCATAAATCACGGTTTCATATTTTTAATTTTATAATTTCTGCATGCCATCTTACCAGATTTAAACTGATGATCTATAATCCGGAATCGCTGAAGTCCCGACGAGTCCGAATTAACGAGTCTTTCCATGCGCATGCGTAAAGCATACATTATGCATAGTTGAAGTTAGAAAATTGCAACCAGAAAACTATTTGATGTGTACTCGTGATATTTATAATGACAAGGAATTTGATTTAAATCATATCAAAGACGGAATACATCGAGATGAAATACTACATTTAGTAAGGAATTATAAGCTGAATAAAATAAAAAACATCTGCCCTGAAGATAAGGATAGTGCTGACAGATCAACTTCCAGTTCATTGCGTGCCGCGTCGCCCCCTTCCCCCCAGAGAGCAGCGTGAAATTGATAAACAGATTTCGGAATGGTTAGAGAAACAAAGGATATGGCTTTATCCATTTTTTGCAGCAATTCCACTTTTTGTTTGATGGACATCGAAACATAATTTTGCTTTGTAGATCCTTTACATATTAGTAAATATATATCGGAACTTCTATTTGACATAATCGAAAGTTCAAGCTTACTTTTATAAAATTGCTCTAATAGTGTGCAAAAAATAATAAGCCGGATTCAATTCGAAGATTAAGGAACAACACAATCTGCAACATTAACTGAAATAGATAATTTTAGCTTAGCTTATACTGTCCATTATACATTAAACGCGCATGCATAAACGTATTATGCACATGCGCACGTGCATATGCCATATGCGCATGCATGAGCGCATTATGCATTGACGCATGCGCAGAAAGTTTGTCTCTTTGAGGTCCGGATTATAGATCTTTCCGGATTAACGACTTTTGACTGTACTATACTGTAATGGTAATAATAATATCTTATTAGTATTGTACTTTAATAGTACTTATTAATATGTTGGTTTTTTTAAAGAAATAATATTGTGATACTTACTTGTAGTTTATCTAAGATGACGTTTCATTTGTTATGGTCTTACCATAACCACATCCGTTGAAAATTAAATTATTCACATGATTTTCTCCTCTTGATTTTGAGATGAAAAAATGAGTAAAAATGTAGGGAATACATGATCACAGACACATATATATATTGTGAAGACTGACATGTTTATCATCCTGTTTTTCATGTTCCATACTTTTACAGATTTTTAATACATAATAACACTTTAGAGAATAAAAAGTATGTTTTCATATGAAGCATTCTCAGCCCTCCTTGTTTCCATAAAGTTTATTAGATATACTAGTTCTATTTACATACTCAAAAAGGTATTAAACTATCATTTTCCCACCCAAAATGCCTATTTAAGGTTTGGGAATGTATTCCATCTGAAAGTTTAATAATAACATGTAGGCGTAAAAACCACAAGAATGTTCAGTGTAGCATGCAACATTTTACACAAAATGACTATACTAAAATTTAAAAGAGAAATGGATGAAAAAGCGAAACCTTCAATTCAAAATTTCTTAGAGCATTTTTTCAATGAAATAAGCTTTAATTCAGCAATATTAAGACACTCGAGAGCAGACTTAATAAAAAAAATTAAAGCAGTAACTGTGTTTGATAAATATTTCACATATTGAAATATAAAAAAAAATAAATAAATAAATTTATACCCTCTTCATTGTCCCTCATGTCAACATACACATTCCGTTTCTCACTCTTCCTTTCTATGCTAAGATCATGAGAAAACTTGCATTTGTCACCTTTTGTACACTGGCCTTGCTTGTAAAATGCACATAGTACTGACTTCGGATCCGCACCTGAAATGAAAAATTATTAATTCATATTTATCATTAAATGAATGTCAAATCAGTTATGTTTCATATATAAGTATCAGCAAAATGCTCCAACAGTCTATCATACTCATGACATACTTCTGAAAAAATGGCTAATTCTGAATACATAACAAGATTACTTCTTTAAACCAAAACAATTACACTGGTTAGTCATTCAATCATATTTTAAAGTTTTTCACCAATAGCAATAATGTAAAAATATAATACAGAATACACACAAATTTTAAGATATTAAATTAATTCGTTTTAAAGGGTACAATATCTAGCTGGTGTTCAATATCTAGCTTATAATTAAAGGAGAAATAATGGAACTACTCTTATATGCACCCTCAGGTCGTCAAACATTTTTGGCGAGAAACACCATGGTGCCATATTACTATCAAATTATGTCTACATTTCCGAAATTATTTTTGTCTACATTTTGAACTTTAATGTCTCCAAAAACACATTTTTCGCACATGCAAAACTACTTTTTCAACACACAATTTAAACTAAAAATCCGAAACAAAAACAAAAAATTTAGATAGCAAAAACTTAAAGTTTCTAATTATCAAAAATATTTGATAAGAATCCATGTACACAGCAATATGCTTTAACTTAAAAAAATATCTACGAATTCCACAATCTAGTCAGCGAAGGAATCTACGAAGCACTTGCCATAATAAATTCTTTTTTGGACAGCAGAACGTAGCTTTAACATGCCGCCACGTACTCTCTATGGTATTTATATGACAGCCAAACACACTATCCAGAAAATTCATACTATGGTTCACAAATAAATGTTCAAAACCTTCTTTTCCTAAATCCTTGTAAGATTTCCATCCATCCGAAAAAATAGTTGTACAAGGCTCAATCCACCCTTTAATACACTGCATCAGCGTTTCCTTACTTCTATCATGCACAGCCACTAAAAATAATCTCCCTGACCCTCTTGCAAACACGTCTCTCATTACAACATAGGCCATTTCAAAACATGCACCACACAAACCAACGAGCAATTAAACCACTCCAGCAAAAGAGTTTTCAATGTCAAAAGGGTTGCCATACAACATGCAATCGTGCCTTATATGCGCCCTAAGATCACCAAATGTGGCGCAGAACACATAGCTCCACATTTGGTGATCTTAGGGCACATATAAGAGTAGAGCCGAAATAACTACCATATTTGACGGCATATAAGACGCACTTTTTTTCCTAAATTTGGTCTCGAAAAAGTTACCTGCGTCTTATACGTGAAGAACACAGGTTAACTTTCAATACTGAATGCTATTTTTAACCCGGATAAAGGTCTAGACACACATAACTTTTTCTACATCTGCCATAATTATTTTGCGCATGCGTGAAATATCTGTCACCAAAAAGCACCAAAGCTCGAAGCTGATGTCGAAGTTCGAACAGATTCGACGGTCACATTACATCTATGGAACCTTTCCTTCTTTACATAGACATTCTTTGACTTAGCCAACACACGTGTCGGTCAAAACTACCGCCGTTTTTCATATTCAAAAGAAAAACTCATTCGAAAAAAAAAAAAACTTCCAACGGGTGTAATTGTTGATGTTCATCCAAAAGGCTGGATAGACGAAGCTAGAATGAAACTGTGGTTACAGAAGTATGGTCCGGGCGACCTGGTGGACTCTTAAGAAAACCCTCTCTTTGGGTTTTGGATCAGTTTAGCACCCATAGAACTGAAACCATAAAGAATAAAGTGAGAGGATTAAAAACCCAGATAGCTGTCATTCCTGGTGGACTGACTAGCCAATTGCAGCCTTTAGATGTATCGGTGAATAAGCCATTTAAGGAAAAAGTGCGAGAATGATGGAACAAGTGGATAGGAGAGCCACATCACGCCCTCACACTCTCAGGTAGAATGAAGCGGCCCTCTATTTCACAAGTGTGCGAGTGGGTAAAAAGATCTTGGGAGGACGTAAAGGCTGAAGTAATTGTTAAGTCCTTTAAGAAGTGCGTAATCAGTAATGCTCTTGACGGAACAGAAGACGATGCATTATTCGAAGAAGGTGATACTAGCGATGACGGAAACAGTAGTGATGATGATATATTCTCATTTTCGATGATGATGATAGTGAAAAGGATTTTTATGGTTTTGAAAGTGATTAAAGTCTAATTTCATGATAGGCAACGTTTTCCTTGAATCTGTGTTTTTTGTTGTTTCTGCTTTATTTTGTATTATGTTTGATTGCTTGCCTTTTATTCATTTATTCATTATTGAAATTTACATATCATGTTCAAAATAGCTTGCTGTTTGTTAATTTTCCTTAATAAAAATATGTTTGGTAATTGCATTCAATGATTGTTTATTTGGCTTTTACGAAACGTGAGAACTAAAGGAAACCACATTTTAAATTATTGTGGTACCGCGCTCTCACGCCTACTATTAGAACTTTTTTCCCTTGTGTGTGGCCTTCTAAATAAGGGTGCGTCTTATATGGCGTCAAGTATGGTACTCTATTTACTACACATTACAATTATTTAATAAGCTATAAAGTGTTCCTAAGACTAAATAAACATAAGAGCTTCTCTTCACACAAGCAAAATTTATTTTATATATAGTCAGTCAATTATTTTTATTAACTTAATATACTATATTTTTGTGTGTGCAAGCTGCATCCTTAATTTTTATCTCTAATTTTAAAAAAAAGAAAAAATTCGTTAATAACCATTAACAGACTATTACCTATAATCCCCCCCTTCCCTGTGAAGATGTGAAAGCAGCTGAAATGAAAATAGTACTTAGCACACACCAAGACAAAATTATTATTATCAGTCAAAAAGAACATGTTTCTGTGTATTTAGCACCCCCTCCAGCACGACTGGAAGCAATGCCAGAGTTCTGACTAGGTCAATATCTAGACAACCTTGACTTCTGGGAAAAAATCAACAGTATTTACAGCGACGAGAATCATCGTTTATTCAGTGGTAGGTTTAGACCCAGCAAGGACTATATGGTACTGTTTTGTCTGTTTCTTGGTTGTGGGAGATGCTACAGATTTTGATTTCAAAGGTTGTCCTTGGGGGTTTGGCTCCTCTTGGTCAACACTGGGGTACAGTTAATGTCAACCTTTGTGCTTTGTCGGTGGATAGCTGTCCACCACTGACTTGAGATTCAAAACCCAGTGAAACAAAAATTGTCCCCCTGGATTCACCAAGGAGGGGTTCGGGTGGTTAACTGTGCAAGGCTGCCTCCAGCAAAGCCAGGTCTGGGTGCCCCTTCCTCCTAATGCACTGCACTGTGTTTAGCACCTCTTATTCACTGTCACTATCAATATTACTAGAGTAATTACCAAAAATTTAATAACAAAGTAAAAATAAAGTGGAACCATAATTACTCTTTTTTTATTTAATTATCAATGTAATAATCTTCATATGCTTCTTCCACTTGCTTGTGTCCTGCAACATGTCACCTACGTCCTCTCTTTTGCTAATCGCTATGCTGTCAATATGTTAAAAATCTGAACCTGAAGAGTGCTTTAGTATGTTTATGCATTCTTATCTATAACTGACTTTAAGAAAACTCATTTGCAGATCATAAACAAATCAGCAGTGATCTGTTATTAATATTAATTTTAAAAAATACATAAAATACTTGAAAACACTATGACATACATGCATAGTGAAACAGTCTATAACATACATACCCTTCTCCACTTTCTGCTGGGTGACAGGTCTAAATAAAGTTTTCAACTCATCTATTTCCTTTTTTTTCTCATCTTTCTTTTTTTCAGGGCCTTTTAATAATTCAGCCTAAAATTTAATGTACATTTATTGTCAAAATCATAGAAATATTCAAACCCATAAAAAATTAACTTTCATATTATACATAAAACTCTAGAAAATCTACCAATATGAGAAACTGAATTTTACTTTAATTACCAAAACAATTATTAAGACTAAATACCTTTCTAGCACTCTGATTTCCAACTTTAACTTGGTGCTGTACTTGTTGAATGAACTTTTGAGTTTTTGCACCTTTTTTGTTTTTTAATCCAAATGTTTTATCCTAGAAAAAATACAAATCAGAAATCAAAATATGATTCATAATCTTTTTTAAATAAAATTTAAAAGTTTTCTATAAGATTCAAAGCCAAATGCCATCATTAGGAACTATATAAAAATTGAAATTTTAAGTATTAAAAATGCTGACATAACTAAAACATACAGAGTTTTGGAAGATTTATTATTTTAAATCTGGGCAACTTAAAAAGATTTAATTCTAAAATCTATGTACAATTATTTAAAAAAAAAAAGTCAATACTTTTAAAAAGAATGAAAATAGTTATTCTTTTAATTCTAATACATTTGTCTCCCAAAGGTTTTCTATGACAAAGATATGACAGATAAAAAAATATAATAATAATAAATACACTTTTTTCCTCTGTATATTTGACTAAGGAAAGGAAAATTTAAGACAGGATAAGTATAATTTATCCGAGAAAATAAAATCAAAACAGTTACATAATCATTGTGAAGTTGTAGAACTTGTAAACCTTTGAAAAGTAAGAATTTAAAAAAATAGTCCAATCACGTATAAAAGTAAAAAAAAAAATTAAAGCCAAAATTAAAAAAAAAAAAAAAAAAAAAAAAAAAAGCCAAAATATATATATATATTTTTTTTTTAATTTTAAAAAATGTGCAAACATGTAAAAGATTTAATTCTCGAACTAATCTACATTTTCATTTAAATTCAGAAGCATAAGCAAATCAAGTGCAAAACCAATCCATGAAAATAAATTCACTAATTTAGCAAATTAAAATTAATACAAACAATTTTTTTTTTTAAAATGCATAAGTGAATGACTGTTGAGTAGGCAGGAGACAGACTTATCAAGGGGAAGTTGCCTCCAAACCTAACTCTCCAATCATTCAATTTGTGTTTCGTCATTCATGCAGGCAAGGGTAAGTGAAGAATGTCCAAAAAGAAATACCAATAAAGTGGTACCCTTAGGAATTAGCAATTAAGAATTAAAGTTCTAAAAGGAAAATACTAATGAAGTCTTTTGAGAAACAAGCAAGTAAAGTCAAGTATTAAATTTAACTTTTTTAAAAAAATTAATTTTTTATAAAAAATAAAAAAAATAATCTAGAAACCAATGTATTTTAGAAACCCTGGTCTACAGAAACCTCCCCGACACGAATATGCATATCAATAAAAAGAAACTAAAAAAGAACTAGACATAATCCATATAAACCAATAAGAAACAAAAAGAACTAATTTACAATTTTTAAAAAACAAATATGTACTTAAAAATATAATTTCATATTTAAAAAATACTTAAATACTACTTAAAAAATACTTAAAGCAAGTAAATAGTAAGTTTTAATTCTAACTTACCTATTATATGAGTGTTGGGGTCTGCAAAAGTGTTTTTAAAGAGAAGTAAGTTATTTCTTCAAATTAATTATATAGATGGCGCTTAGTAGGTAAAGTTGAGTGTCAAGCTGCTATCTTTGTTATATTAAAATTTTTTGCAAACATTAATATTAAAATATATAAATCTAGAAAAAATTAAATTAAAAATCCTAAAGGTATGTAATTATCAATTATTTAGGGAGTTAAGTAGCTGAGCAATCAAGAGATGTAAGTGTTTGAAGTAAAATAAAGTTAAGTGGTATTGTGAATTAAAAAATGTAAACTGTTGTGTAATGTGAAATGTGTGTGTTCTGTTGAAAAAATTGTGTAAATATTGTAAATAACGTTAAGTGAAAATTTTTGTGTGTGAAAATGTGCAAATAATTAAAGTAATTAAGTAAAACTGAAATGTTTTAAAAAATTTAAAGTTTTAAAGTAAAATTAAAATGTCTAAAAATTTTCCAAAATTTTTTGAAAACGAAAGTCCTTAAAAAAACCTCTATAAAATTCCCAGAAATTTCTTGAGGAAGTTAATTAAAAGTTATATTTAATGAAAGAAAATATTAAAAGTTTAATGAACTTGATTTCAATTGGTATATAAAAACTTAACTAAATACTGGCTAAAGTATGGAAAATTAGAAGATTAAAATCTTCACTCAATTCGGGCTGTAATTGAGACTTTTGAAAAGAGTTGGCCCTTTATTAGTAAAAGGAAAGAGTCCAGTATTGATTAAATATACATATTTACAATACAAATTTACAAGATAATTTCTTTACTCTTCTATATCCTTCATTACCCTCCAGCTAAGGTTTAAGGTAATGTTATCATATTAAAAAGGGCCAAAAAATTATAAAGTAAAGTCAATGCCTGCCTTTTTAATATATAAATTAATAAATTTTGGTGGTACTTGGTTATCAACTTGAACATTAATTAGCTTTATTATTTCTTCCTTTAAATCGTCTATTTCAGTACATATATATTTATTCTGATTATTTACTATGAAACGTGTTTTCTATTACTTTCTAGAGATATTAGAGTTCCAATTAATTAGTTTAACAGTATGAAAATGGAAATTCCTTCTTTTATCAAATAATTTAATTTTGCTGTGTGTTTATAATTTTAATGCATTTTGTAAAGTAAACAAGAAAAAGTATAAAAAATGTTTATAAGTACCAAAATTTGAATAAAATTTTATATATATATATATATTCCACATTCCCATCTCATTTGAAACTATAAAATTTCTCCCTCAGTTGAAAAACCCTGTTCCAGAAGGATGTACAATGTCTTAAGAGTATGGAACACTTAAAAAATACTCTCAAAAGGTTGGTAGGGAAAGAAGGGTGGAGAACCCTCTCATTTGTACTCTCGGGTTATTCTCATCAAATTTGGGGTTTCTCATGAGTAAAATTCGATTGCTCTCTGTGGTGTACTCTAAGCAGCTAATGAGACATAATTATTAATGGATTTTGGCCATTTATAATTAATGCATCAAGTTACAAGTATCTAGCCATTTGAAGCTACTTATATTCTCAGAGATTTATTACTGGTTTAAAACTAAATAAATGTTTTTTTCTGGTGTTCATCATAATTATTTCTATGATGCCCTAATTTATTTCAGTTTATACGATAAACCAGAAATACCAGTCTTAACCCATTACGAGTCACGAGTAGATAATCTCTAAACACTAACTTTTGAAAGAAGGATAGCAATACAACCTTCTCACAAGAGTTAAAACCTAGATATCTGTTGACTAGTGTTAGAATAAAAAGTAAACCCACTCATAATTTATAAGACAGATATAATATTTTATTTGATATTTCAGAAAACCCTTTTTTTATCAGTTCAAAGAAATAATATTTCAATTTTGCATTCCCCCCTTTCCATATAATATGAAAATCAAAAATTGTTGCCAGTTGATGAGACCTAACCTTCTCATTTATTTTACATAAAATATAAAACTGTCTTGCTCAAAAACTCACACAGTGAATCTTAAATTAAAGAGATTATTAAAAACTTTATTGTTACTATGTGCGTGTGTATAGAGAGAGAGAGAGATGTATGTATACTTAAGCTTCAAAAAATAAGCAATAATGCTAAAAGAAAAGGTATGAATGTAAAGAGGGAAACTAAAACATACAATTTACATACGAGGTAAAAATTGCATTGCTAAATGCAAATAGGCAACCAAAATTAACATAAAACACAGTCCTGCAATCACATCACATAAAAAGAGGCATGCTAGACCTATGCATCAGCTCGCAGGCAGCAAAATTTCCATGTGATCCGAGAGAGCCAAAGTGGAATGCATGAGCCGAAGACACCATCTGCATGATCAGATGCATTGCAGGGCTGTCGGGATGTTGCAAGCTGGTGTAAGATAATCAACATTTGCAAGAAAGTTGGATGTGCATAGTAGTGTCATCAGTAGGCAGTGGAATCGTTAGCAAAGGGATCAAAACCCCTGTAGAAGACATAGGTCTGAATGCTGGAGTATTATAACAGCAGATGATCGCTTCTTGTTGCTATGGGCTTTTGAAATTATTGTACTTTTTTCTTGTTCTTATTTTTAACAATTAACATTTGATGAATAATCTTTTGCTGACCTTTCTTGATGATTTTACAAGATGCTTGGAATTCTTTGCCATTTTGGTTTTCACACAGAACTTTATTTCATAACTATTTACAACAAAAATGTTTACATTAGAACGTTCATCATTTTCTTTTGTTGCCACTACATTTTTATCAAAATCCGCTATGTGGTAAAAAAAAATATATATATATATATATATATATAACGACCACAAAAATAAAAAGGCCGTGCACTCTCGTGATTAGTTACATAAACTGTAACATCCTCCCCCTCGATGAACTCTTGAGTTCATCAAAGGACTGGATTCTTAAACATTAATGTTTTCAATGTTCTACAACTTTAAATGTTCATAGACACAGTGTTCACAATTCACTATGTTCAGTTCAAAGAGTTCAAGTTATTTCTAACGGGCACAGTAACTGCACAGAATGACAAAGATGATTAGCTAAACAGATAGTGCAAGCCCTTATTTTTCCATCTCACCCTGGATAACAGTCCTGTACAAATCCCATCTTCCATAATAATCTTGGTAGTTTTTCTTCATGTACTAGAACTACAGATCTCTTCAAAAGATCTTTTATGGCAATACCTCTCTGAATTTGCTTTACATTTCTAATTTCAAGTAAGTATTCCCTTTTTCAAAAACCTTCTAATAACCTTAGCCAGTATTTATATTGCCTTTTTTAATTTTCTTTAGTTGAATCGGGTTCAAGAAATTTGCCAGATGGTAAACACGTCAGTTTTCGTCCAACTAGAAAATGAGCTGATGTCAGTGGTTCTGGTTCTCCGGTTTCACAATAAACATAAGTAAGCGGACGTGAATTCAACAGCGCTTCAATTTCAATTAAAACTGTTTCCAGCTCTTCAAATTTAAGTGAAGCCTTCATGAGTATTTTCTTCAAACAAGACTTGATAGATCTAACAAGATTTTCCCAGAAACCGCCCCACATTGAATTTCCACTCAATACCTTTATTACCAAAATAATTTTGAACTTCTGTGTCCTTGATGGTATTCCATAGCTTTTGTAAATCCTTGTCTGCTCTTTTGAAGGTTT